TTTTTACCTCAATTGTACATGTCAACCAAATCACAATTAAATCCTCTAATATAATAATATGCTTATTTTTGGTATCAAATGAAAGAATATTTATCCAAAAAGGCACAATGAATCTGCTTTACCGTGTAAGTAATTCCACATTAGGAACAATATATTCATTCCTATCCCTGCATCTTTTAAGTTATTTGTAAAAGAGAACTCCACATCTAATTGTCAAACCAAAGCTATTCTTATCAAATAAATATCCTACTGGGATAACCTTTAACTGATGTCCACAACAAAACAGAATTGGTATGATTCCATCACCTGAGATGGTATCCATAAGGTACACAGGCTCATTCATATAAAACCCATTTATTGTAACCATATTTGAAAGATGGCAAGGAAATATTCCTGCAAAGTGGTGGACAATACATTATAGTGCACAAAATCTTATTTCATTTTAGAATATACACTCCAGGAATACTTTGCTGAATCCAGCAAATATAAAACTTGAACAGATTCTACTGATAGTAGAGACATTAGATAGTGTTGAGATCCCCAATATTATTCACCACAAGTTGTGCCAAAATACATTTAAAATGAAAAAATGCATTAGGTGCTGTTATTTTAAAAGAATAAGGTGAAGTTGTTACAGATCAAAAAAAGATTGAGTGTTTGGTCATCTGTCTAAGAAAAACAAAAATAAACATAGTTTATTAGAAGTTGCTTTAACTCTTTGAAGAAAAAACAAGTATTTTAAAGTAAGTTGATAAAACTTGTGTAAGATTCCTAGAAATACAGTAAAAGGATGTTCAGATAATTGCATTAACTGTGTGAATTTTTAGCCGCTGCCAAAACTGCGCAAGGGAAAAAAATACAAGGTTGGGCCAAACTAAGGCGATTTAAATAGTGCAGACTATAATAGATTTGAGTTCGAAGCTTGCAATGACAGCAGAGATGTTAATGAGGATTGAAGCATTTATATAAATATAATAAGAGGTATAGCTACAAAACTATTATATCAATTATATTAATTGTCAATAGGCGATCAAAATCAGCACTATAAACTATAATGAACTTAATATAAATTCAAATTGTTTATTTCAATGGTTGAGATGAAGATGCATATAGTTGGATATAAAGTTCTAGATTCCAAGAATAAGTGAATAATATTGTATTTATTTTGTGGAAAAAAAATGTGTTGTAGTCTCTGAAATATTGTTTGTTTGTGAATCTCCTCTCAGTCAAAGGATTTATTCAGTTAATATTGATTTAGTGTTAAAAATGTAACATACAAGTTTTATTAAATTTTAGTCATGAAGGGTTTAACCTGGTCGATACAGGTAGGGGTGAGAGGGCATGTCCTCACATTTGTAGACTTACATTCAACATTTTATAGATGTATGTCAGTAAGTTTGGCATAAAATTGTAGATTATAATTCAAATTTTAGTATTATATATTAGTTAGTTTCTTCATTTGAATATAGATATAAAATAAAAGGGCTAAATATCGATTTTTTTGTGTCATGCGGCCTTCTGGGTTTGGTCAGATTACATTTTATGTTGCCCACAATACAACGTCTAGTTTCGGACGAATTAGAAACTCAAGTTTCTGATAGTAGCAAGCTAGAATATAAAATAAGAACCTCCTACCTTTTATATTTGCTGATATTTAGCAAATCCATCATATTGGCTCTGCTCAACAGTTCATCATTTGAGAAGACTTGTTTAACTATGCCTGCTTTTATATACCAATAACTTTATTATCAATCAAAAGCTATACATTTCTTTTACATAATTCTGTCACTTTTCCCAAGTTATTTACGAGAGATAAGCTCGTAACATTAGAAAGTTTGAAGAATTACTATCAAGGCTATTTTGCAAATAGAAATTATATTTTTTTAGACCCAAATACAATTTAGTTAGGAAGTCTGATAAATTACAGCGGATTTTTGGGGTATCGGTTATAGTAATTTATAATTTTTTGTATTCCAAAATGCCTGTATAAAATCTATAAAAAAATTTCCATCTCTATGTGAATTTGGATGAGGCTTAGCAAGTATAGCTCACATGTGTCTTTCAAGTAGTTCATAGCATCGTAACTAGTAGAGATCATTGTTTTCCTAATATTTTTTATTTGCTTTTTCTATGTTTGAAGAAAAATAACTGACATTTAAATACTTATTTGAAAATAATATATATATATATATATATATATGTAATGTATGGTAGCCAAAATGTACTATATTTTACAAAAGAACTTGTGTTATTTTTCTACTTGTTTACATTGAGGTAGAATAAAAAATTACAATCAAGAAGGCTAAGCCAAGAATACTAGCCCAATCAAAATGACTCATTTACATTACTGGAAACAACACACATTGGTTACGGTGTAAGCAAGGTAATATAGAAAACGGGATGTTCATAAACATTTACACCTATACCAACACTAAACCCTGACCATTCAGGAAGATAACTTGCATCCAAGTACTGAACAAGTTATTGAATTGAATACAACGTTGTACAGAGCTATATAAATATTTTTTCTCACTTTTATAAAGTACTTTAGACAATTCTTGTTGCAACCACTGTACTGTAAAGAAGCTGACAAATTCTACCCCACTGTGTTCTTGGAGCCAGGATGCAAATAGATTCTGTAGGATAAATTTGCTTATCAACTTATTGGATTGGCCCGGACTTTCAACAAAATCATAACATAAACATTTTATAATACTATAGACAAGTGTTGTTGAAACCATTATACTGTTAACATGTTGATAAATCCTACCCCACTGTGTCTTCAAAGCAGGGAAAGTTCTGGGAATTGCACAGCATGAGCTTATTTGATATTGACAGTGTCAAACAAAGTAAGAAGCGGCAATTCATTGCTTTATGTTCAGCAGGTTTGTACTTCAGCTGCTAACAGTAGATAAACATAGGAAATAGGTGTGAAAAGATTAGAAGAAACTCTCGGGAATTTTACTTTGTAACTTAGTGATCTATACTGATAAAAGACAGACAGTACTATTCATTTTGTTTCGTCTAGTTTCTAAGTCAGCTCCTACCAATGAAATTATTACAGAAAATAAGTGTGAAAAGGTGAGAAGTATAAACTCTTTGAGCAATATAACAATACTGGACATTGCAACCTTTATTTTCATTATACAACCTGGAGGATCAAGTACAATGTTACAGTAGAGAAAATAACAGATAAAATATAAAGTTTTGATGAAAAGTGTGTTTGATATTTAATTATGAGGTTATTCATTTTTCATTTGTTTTCATTATAAAAATAACTAAGATAATGAAAGAAAAATAATAAATCTTCAGAGGGTATACTAGCAAGTAGCTTGTGCGTTACGTTATTTGACACAGTAATGTGAGCTGCACATGCACCACAATTTTCAACTTGTGTCAGGGTATTTCTTGTCAGACACAGTTCAAAGGTCAATAAAACTAAAAATTTATAAATATTAATAGATGTATACTGTTACAAGAATTAAGCTATTTACAATAAATATTTGTGGTTTTCTGTCACAATTTGCAGTCATTCTAGAACAAAAGTTAGGGTAACTAGATTTATTTCCTAATTTTTATGATGGTTAAGAGATCAGTCAAATTGATTAACACCATATAAAGTTTGATGGTTATTTAGGAGGATATAGAAATTATGCAAATGAAACTTACTTTGCATGTTGGATAGTCAACATTCTGAAAGAAAAATTTCATGAGAAAATCTTTATACTTAATTAAAGCCTTGTAATGTTTACCAAGAATTTGTGAAGATGCACATACATCATGAAAAATTATAGTATAATGACTCTCATGGATACATTTGTGGTTACAAGATGGGTTAATGTGTTATATTTCTTGGTCTTAAACTACTACTTACACGTCATCCAGTAAAAATGTCATTAGAAACACAGAACGTTTTAAATAGTTGAGATATAATTTATCTCCTTAAGTGGTACTAACAGATTAGTTTTCAGAGCAAGCTCATTGGTTTTATTTCTTTTCTATAACTTGCTCTTTCCCTTATAAGCCAGTTTTACAAAGTTCATGTTCTCCGAGATTCTTAAAAATGGCTTCCTAACCTACTGTTTTCAAAATTATACTGAACTTTACAATTATCTGAAGCCACAAACTGTGTGTCATTTACTTTTTTACTACTATTAACCAACAAAACAATCAGAAAAGTAAATACAACAAATGCAAACTAGCCACTTATTGGGAAGAATATTACTTTTAATATCCTTAACTTTTTTTTAGTTTACATTACCACAAAAACTTCTGCTTGGTATAAGAAATGCTTATAGCTTTTGCTTGAACCCTTCTTAACTCATTGATAAAGCATGGGTTTCAGTATACTAGTAAGGAATGTGGTAAGCTGATAAAGTTTATAAAAAATAATGGTAGATTTTTCATTTTTCAAATGTGTACAAAAAGAATTCTATTCAATTGTGTTGTCAGTAACTTGTTGGTTGTGCATATTCTTTAATTTTTCTTTGAACTGGAAAAACTTTTTGGACTCCATGTTAAGTCCTACAGTTATGAGCTATGAACAACCCATGGTAGGTGTTTGGCATAAGCCAGGAAGGTCATTCAGTCACAAACTAGCTTTTCTTCTTCCTTACGAGTTTATAGGAAAAGATTTGATGTAATGTTTGTTCAAGTCACCTTAACTAGACCTCTCCAGGCTAATTTCAGGTAACTAGTTAATATTAGTCTACCCAAGGAGCATACATTATGATCTATATTAATCTATCTTTTATATAACTTTTCATCCAATCTTTATGAGCCTGGAGAATACTCTGACTGACTGACAAAACACTACTATGATGGTTTCCTTTGTTCACAGTTACAGACCTGAAACATTGTTCCAGAACAAAGAAAAATAATTTAAGTATTTATTAAAGTCCAGTATTTAAGAGAGTTAGATTGCGATTTTTTTTTTACCACCCAGAATTATTTTATTGTATACTTATATGTATAATAGAAATTTTAATTTCTCTTACCAGAAACTCTGGAAGGACATAAAAATCAACTATGTACAGGAATAAGGAAATAATCCTGTTAATAGGAGGAACTCCTTCAGATGCAAAAAAATGCTATTGTTTAAACATCTTAGATGGCAGTGAAGACCACTCTGCACCAGTTGTACATTCATCATATTTTCATCATAAAGATTGCTTGTCTGAAGAGATTTAATCAAATGTAGTAATGTATAGTAAAGATTAGACCAATTGTTGAAAAATAAATTTGAAGGAAAAAAAAAGTTTTGTACAGTTATTAATATATCCAAAAATGCTCAATGTTATTTGTGTTTTTCATATTTTCTGAAGTATATGGGTCTTCAAACTAAATTCACTAATTGTTTGAACTCTGTGATTTTTATGGCATAACATTTAAGAATGTATTTTTTAAGTTCTTTAAGAGTTCTCATTAATGCTGAAAATTTCTGTGTTAATCTGTAGAATAGACCTTACAAGACAGAAAACTAAATGATAAAGGGAACAAGTCAAGCCAAAGTACTTTATGCATTAACCTCTTTAGTTACACCCCAAAATTGTTTGGACATATTCAGTAACACATTTAACTTATTCTTTACAAGTAGTCAAAAAGAGTTAAAATCTCTAGATTTTTACTTAAAGTTCAACACATGTTTATATATCATGTGAAGGCAAATTACAAAATTGAAAATATTAATAAGTAACACTTTTAACCAAAACTCTTTTTATACTAAATGGTTCATACAGGGCATTTTTAAGGGCATGGAAAATGAAAATGATTATCATGAACTAATGTATAAATTATGTGATTGAAAATGATTAATTTAACCAATATTTTTAATTTGAATTAATTCATGTAAAGTCGTGCTTAGCACAATATAATAATTCCCAGTATCAAATTGTTAGTCTTCAGCTATTAATATATCACGCTACACTGATCTGACCAAACTGGTTAGTTTTGTGTGATGCTCCATGATTAACACTAAAGTAATCCCTCAGTTTTCACTTTTCATAGAGTTGGTGAGGTCCACTGTTAGTTTCATTATGAAATTAAGTCAAGAAACAAGATTTATTTTCAGTCTTTGAATTTTATGATTTCCTAGGTGTATAAACCCTAAATAAATGCAAAACCAGTCTATCTTAGTATATTGACAGTTACACATTGTTTACAAAAAATAAAAAATGAAGAGTACACGATTTTATAGTAATACAAGAATCACATCTCTAATAACATTCCACAAATTGGTACTAGCTCGATGTGCTCCTAATGGTTTCACCAGGCAGGGGCTGTGTTTGCTAGTCTCCTCATCCTCCTGCAAAAATAAGTTATTTTAACAGGTCAACCATTGTAACTTTTAATAAATGGAAAGTGTACATGATGAGCACAGAATGATACTTAAAGTGACTGAAAATAAATTAAAAGTATTCAAGAATGGTGTGTATTTTGAATAGTACAAGTAATAGTGATACATTTAAACCACTGAATATCCCACTTGTTTTCTTCCAGTAGACTTTCAATTGATATTTACAGATGATACAGTTATGACAAAAGGTATTTACGTATCCCATATTTCATAGGGTACCACCATCATAATCAGTTGGTAGTGAAAACAAACTATCAAGTTAAATAACTACAATTGTATTTCCTAGAACAACCCTAAGAAAATGTATTTAGAAGAATACAATAATAGTTGTCCTGGAAAACACACATCCACCCACTAGAAATAGTGTGAAACTCTTACAAAAAGAAAATAAAAAGTGCAGCTATAGTAACTTAAAATTGGAAAATGTGGAGTATGTTCAGTAGAGCTCTATAAATGAAAAAAAGGTGATCAACCTTTTAGTCACGTGTGGAAATTAATATCTTGTAACTAAACTCGTGCTCAACTAATTAACAAGATTCATAACTTATTACTACTGTACACTCACCTCGTGTTTCGGTCTTGATCTCTTATCTTTTTCTCCATCTCGGCATCAGTCAAGGTCTCAAGGAATGGACACCACTGGTCAGCTTCTGTCTGGCTCCGGAAAGGAACATCTACTGTAGGCAGAGGAGCCTCACTAGAAATCAAACTGAAGCTACAGTAACATACTTCCCATCTAAAATAAGGAATCTTGTAAAATGATAAACTGTATGTTTCAAATCTTGTGTTGATTTCAGAAACATTTTATGAAAAAGTTTTTACAAACTGACATTGTATTTAGGTGCTTCCTCAATTGCTCTGTTTAAAATGCTTTTCTAACTGAAAAATAACTTGTTGAACATTCCTTAAATGTTCCTAACCTTTTCTTTTAAACTGAGGCTCAATACTTAATTTTGTTATCTGGAGCATTATAAATCCAGAAACATTTTTGTACTTAATAGAAGAAGTAGAACATTTTACAATAACATTAAAATTTATTTACTTAACATTTAATGAGAAACTTGCCCTTGCAGGACATTACATAATTTACCTCCAATCAATAGTGAGGATGCATTACTACTATTCTGTTGGGTATATCCCAGTTTGCTACATTACAGTATATATATAACTTTAAATTACATCACATTTGTTTATTTTAATGAAGCAGCTTATGTTTCATGTATATATTTATGCTTCCATTTTAGAGATCCTTTGTGGCCCAATTTTGGGCCACAGAATTAAACTACTAGTTTATGTACATCTTACCAAATATTATTTAATTTACCAATTTACTTGTTTATTTCCACAAACATCCTGAGATAATGTATAAATGCAGACTGCAGAGCAGATAATTATTTCTATCAAGAACCTATTGAAACAAGAAACTTTCAAATATATAATGCTACATATCAACTCCTACCTGAATGCATACGTCCTCTGGTGCCAAGAAAGCTGACCACGAATACTATAGGCTATTGCAGTTACAAACTCCCCTCCTAAACCAAGTTCTGAACAGAGCTTTAGGGCAAACTGTTCAGGACTGTTTTCCTTCTCAGACATGTCCCATTCAAACTGATCAACCAAGGAGATGTTGCCGACATGGATGTTTAACTACAGAGATTACAGAATGCATTAAACATTTTCAAACTGGCTACTAACAATCTGTAAGGCTGATTTTTAACTGAGGTATACATAATTGAACTTAACATTTGAAATAAAAAATAAAAGAATACAAAACTGTGCATATGTACATTTTCTCTTAAATTGGTTTTATCTACACAGAAAATGTTTAACTTTATATGCAATGATTTCATATATAACTTCTGATCAATAAATGTAACAGTCCTAGTATGAACTGCTTATACAATTAAATACATTTAGGCAACTCTACTTAATTTACTTTTTTCAATTGCATGTAAGAAACATTTTTACAAAATAGAATGAAGTTGTAAATATATCAAAGCAAAATTTATAAAATTGAAACAATTTTAAACTAATAAAATAAACATTTTTGGTTGGTTTGGTTATATAGTCCTTTACTTACCACTAATAACTTAAAATACTGGATAATGTAACATACCGCCACGATTAGTTATCTATTATTATTTAGTGGACTAACTGTTTTGTTTTGTTTCTTCACCGAAACCAAACAAAAATATTTATGTTCATTTAAATTATTTTTTTTCCTGATAAATTATGCCTTTTATATATTTGGCAGCACCGATTAGCTATGAATTTAATGAAACTAATTGTTGCAATGGGAGATTAGGTCTCTACATCATCTTTTCCTCACTGAAATTCATGTTTTGGTAAAGGAAATAAATTAACAAATAATAAAAATAAATATTATTTAGAGATTATAATTTCTTCCATAATACTTTAATATAACTTTCACTAAAAAACATGAATGGTAAAATTTAACAAACCTTTCTGTTATGTTACAGAAATAGTTGAACATCTGTCTTTTTCTTTATAAGTTTGTAAGTGGATGAAACCTCTTTTTTCTATATATGTAAATACAGAAATATATATTCCCTATTTTCTAAATTCTAAAATGGTCTAAGCATTAAAACTGGATATCACCTTAATACAACAGACTGTACAATTTACAACTTAAGTTTCTTCTACCTTAAGGATGACCCTCTGATCTGTCTGTTCATCAAGAAGATTATCAGTGGGAAAAGCATCGATCTGTTGTCTTATAGACTGTGCAATAGCTGGAACAAAGGATAGTGGTGGCAGATCTAAATCATCACACAAAACCTCTGCAAACTGCTCTGGAGTGATGAGAGAATCTGAAACAAGCATTTTTTTAAATATCTTTATCAAAACCATACAGCTTGAACTCGTTAATACTATAAAACATACCCAACAACAAAAAACACAGCTATATATTTGCATTTAACTCACAATGAACTGCACTGTATAGTACATTTTGCTGACATTTAAATCTACTATATAGTGCTGTGGCATAGGGCCTGTTCTGGAGTTGAACGTCTCTCCCCATGGTAGAACAAAACACAACAATATTTTTAATGCATTTGTATGTTAGAAGTATGAAATGGATGTTTTTGAAAAAGTAACCCTTTTTCACATGTATTTATGCATGGATATTCATAAGTACCCTAGGTAAAAAAGACGTGCTGCAGAATGCCACATTGAAAATCATGAAAACTGTAATAACGCTGTCAGTTTTTGTGATATCTTAGCAAAATTGGTACCAACATAATGACTTTCAATACCGTATGTCATAATTCATATTACTTGTACGATTAATCTGACATTGTGATAAAATATGCCATTTCTGGTCATGATTTTCTTGAATTTATACCCTAACACTATTTATAATATTTCATCCTTTCAGGTTCTCTTTTCATAGAACAAGGCACAACTATATTTTTCTGATGTATTAGTAGCTCATAAGTCCATAAAAATGGCTGTGAAATAATTAACCTGTTTTGACATGTTACTAAACATGGATATCTACAAGTGCCTTTGTCAAAAATTTCATCCACAAAGCTGTGTCCTAAATCACTAAATCTGCAATAATATCATCAGTTTTTGTGATATCTTAACAAAATTTGTACTTGTGTGAAGGTTGAAGTAGGGCCTTTGTTATTTGACTATAATGTTGACTGACCAACATTTCATGTCAACTCATACAAGGTTTATTATTGGTGTTTTATTGAGCTTTTAACATATATCTGTACCAAGGTTGAAGGAAGACTGGCTTTTTATACGGCAAAATAAATCATATATATTGTAGTGATATGACAAAGATTTCAATGTTTGGAAGACTAGCAATATGTGGAAGAAAAAACTGTATGTATAACATGCATTACACCTCACTCAAGGAACTTTTTTGTGTATGTATTAGGATAATGCCAAGTGCAATTATATATACTTTTTTGCATGTTTTGTGAGTGTCTTTCACCTTACTTGCTGCTTATTCAAATCAGGATTGTAGTGAATTAGTTAACCTGGAGTTTACTGTCTGTTGTTCTTTCTAGTAGGTTGACCAGGGATTTACATACAAAGGTTAAAGATGGATTCAGATCCATCAGGTTATTAAATCATCTTTCCTTTGTGATTCATACATGTAGTTGTTGGATCTACTTGTGTATGATGATTGACACAATTTGTGAAAGGCGACCTTGGTTTTGCCTGGAAGAATATCAATCTGTAATGGCCAAAATAGGTCATACATATCATCCTTCCTCATCTCACTGACACAAAACATAGCTTTAAGTCCTTCTGGAGTTAGATTCTGCACAACAGTGTCATTGTCTTTGCACTTTGCGAGTGTTTTCATACATACAGTTTTTAGCATCGAACAAATGAGCTTTTTTATCTGATGGATCTGAATCCATCTTTAACCCTTGTATGTAAATCCCTGGTCAACTTACCAGAAAGAACAACAGACAAAAAACTCCAGGTTAACTACTAATTCACTGCAATCTAGATTAAGGTTCATGTTAAGCTAGTTTGATCAAGCCATTCCTGATTTGAATAAGCAGCAAGTAAGATGAAAGACACTCACAAAACATGCAAAAAAGTAACTGAAATGAAATTATTGATAATTAATCAGTATATATAAATTATTTTGGCATTATCCAACTACATACACAAAAAAGTTCCTTGAGTGAGGTGTAATGCGTGTTATACATAGTTATTTCTTCCACATATTGTTAGTCTTTCAAAAATTTAAATATTATCATATCACTACAATATATATAATTTATTTTGTCCTATAAAAAGCCAGTCTTCCTTCAACCTTGGTTCAGATATCTGTTAAATAGCTCAATAAAACACCAATAATAAACCTTGTATGAGTTGACATGAAATGTTGGTCAGTCAACATTATAGTCAAATAACAAAGATCCTACTTCAACCTTCACACCACTACAAATTTTGTTAAGATATCACAAGAACTGATGATATTATTGCAAATTTAGTGATTTAGGATGCAGCTTTTTGAGTGAAATTTTTTACAAGGGCACCTGTAGATATCCATGTTTAATAACATGTCAAAACAGGCTAATTATTTCACAATCATTTTTATGGACTTATGATCTACTAACACATCAGAAAAATATAGTTGTGCCTTGTTTTATGAAAGAGAACCTGAAAGGATGAAATATTATAAATAGTGTTAGGGTATAAATTCAAGAAAATCATGAACAGAAATGGCATATTTTATCACCAAGCCAGATTAATCATACAAATAATATAAATATCCATTTCATACATCTAACATGCCAATGCATTAAAAAATATTGCTGTGTTTTGTTCTACCGTGGGGAGGAGTTCTCCTCCAGAACAGACCCTATGCCACAGCACTATATATGACTATGTTCAACATGCATTCAACTGTATTGTATAGCAAACTTATCTGACAGTGAATATGGTTTTATTTAAAGCCATGGGTGCAAGCCTATTGAAATGATTAAACAATTAAGAATGTATTCAATGACCCCCCATTCTTCAGTATTGATGCTTTCTCATACGTTGGACACAAAATGCTTAAAATTGCAAGAAATAATATAAAAACATATTGTAATTCCTGAAATGAACTATACCTTTCTTAGCTTTGCACCTTTGGCTTTATATTGTATCTAACTGTACTGTGTGATATATTTACCAGATATCAAAACTTTACAATATGATATGCTTACATGGCAGAGGGTTGAGAATATTGTATTAAAATAATTTTGGAGCTTCATCTTTTAGTTATAGTCCATGTTGCCATGTTTAGTGATGCCCTTTCTGATAACCATGCCTTTTCAGAACCTATCAAATTTTGGTGGCATAATACTACTTGTGAAGCCCCAAACAATATCGAAATATAGTTCTGATACATTCCATTCCACCACAACTTTATATTGGCTGTGGTTGTCACGTAGCTTTTTTTTTATACTATATACAGTTGTAATTAACTCACAACAAATGTATTGTAGAATGTTTTCAGGACTTCCAACTGTACTAGATATAGATAGTATTTTTACCTGGCATCCAACTTTAAAATAAACTAGTAGAGACCTGAGAAACATTTGCAGTCAAATTAGTATCTTTATTGCAACAGTACTTCTTTAATTACACGATTTCTAGAGTAATACACAATAATACTAATAGTAGACATGAAGATCTGTAAGTCCACTTGTCTTAGGCCTAACATTTGTTAAGCTGTTATTAAGCACAGCCTGTATTTGATAGAAAGATAAATTAACACTAACTTGTGCTTTAGTTTAGTTAGGACTAAACTTCACTGTACTTCATACTATCAATAAATAATCATAATTTTCTACGATCTAACTATATGCCTTTTTAAAAACTTTAATCAGTATCTAAGATGTTGTATAAAATGTCTACTAAAGTATATTTACATCCACTTTTTGTTTATATATATACTGAAATAAAGTGTGTGTGCATGCATATTTAGATAGTAAGGTGCATACGCATTTTCAGAACACACAAAAACTGATAATTAATATAATGGATAAGTTACTTATTCTATGGTACTTTATTTGACATCCAACTGTACTGTACCATACACCCACCTGGCATCCAAATTTAATGCATGGTATATTTTTATCTGACATTCAAATGTCCAGCATGCCAGTCTTATTTGATCCAACTCTAATATATGTTATATTTATCAGAAATCCAATAGTACAGTATTGTACAGTTAAAATACATCAAGTTATCACCTGTCATAACTACACAAGCCAGTCACTGTACTGTAAGGAAAGGTAAGGAATAAGTCCCAAGCACTCTTGGATTATAAAGTAGTACCATTTTTGTTCCAAGTAAAAGTGTCTCTAAGCTTGTGTCCATCAATCTCCATGTCAAGTCGGATTGGGACTAGAACTTCTGGCTGGGAAGAGTTTTCATGGATAACAGAAGGATCCAAATCATCATATCTAAGAAAATGAGACATTCACTAAAGATATGAAAATATTTTAGAAAAATATAACTCAATACTAGTTCAACATTATATTAGCAAAGAGAATGTTATTACATTTGATGAACATAGAATAATATTAGGTCAAGGAGCTGTTAGTAAATTGTTACATTTAATAATAATAAAATATATTATATTGGTAAGCATCAGCTCAATATATTTAGTGTATCACTGTACTGTGCTACAAAACAAGTAATTCACCTGACAAGGGCCTAAATTTTATTATAACAAAAACCTTCTTAAAATTTCAAAACATATGTGTTTAAAAATAGAAAAAGCTTTATTCTAGGTTAGTAAAAAAGAAAATGTCAACTTCAAACTAAGTTTTCTGTTAAAAATGAGAGAACTAAATGCCAACATTTGATAACCCAATACAAATAATGTTATAGCAGCGTCTCTTCCTATGTAATGTCAATGACACATGAAGGGGGATTGAATGGTTACAAACTTATTCCACTTCTTATTGTACACAAATAAAAATGCTTCCCATAGAAAGCATCCAATGACATGGAACATTTGAGTGGAGTTTGGGGATTTAACTAAATTATTCAACTTCAGTAAACAATATCAATGAGACCTCATTCACGCAATCAGCTGTTTCATTGTAACTGAAGATATGAATAACTGTATATAGATGACAAATTAGGAAAATTTAACAAAATTTTGGTTTTGTTAGCTGCAACTTTCCAAATATTCACGTTAAATTAGACTTAACAATGGAAATAAATAAAGCACTAAATATCTTTTCTGCAAATAACAATGTTCTTGACATTTTAAAAATACTTTTAGGAATCCTCCACAAAAAAGGATGAAATGTGTAATTATTATATTAGGCTTAACAGTGTCATCAAAAGACTACTTGCATTTAGTTTTGATTATTTATTCCCAGTCTACAATGGTTAAAAGTAGTGTAAGTATTAAGTGCTCACAGTTTGTTAGGTGCAAGAAGTGGGTTATATTTAGGAGTTCGGGACTAATGTGCACATTTAAGGAAGTTAGTATCGAAGCAGTACAATTTGCTTGTAGAGTTTGTAGATTAGAGGAGGAATTGGAGGCTGTTTTAGTGATGACTTTTAGGAGGTTGGATGAAGTAATAATAGGGCTAGTAGTAATAGATTTAATTATAAAGAGTAGGCTCTGGTAAAGAACAGATTTCAGCCTTTGGCTTGTGTAAAGAGGGAGGGATAGCAAAAGGGATAGGAATGAAAAATACAAGGATGTTATTCTTATAGGAGATTCTTTAGTATGGCACATGGATGAGATAGTGTGTGGGGTTAAGTAGGGAGAAAGGAACAAGAGTGGAGGATATAACTGATAAAGCAAGTGATATAGTAAAGGGTGCAAGTACAGATACAATCTTTATAGTGCACATAAGGACTAATGATATAGATCAAATGAGCTAATTGTTAAGTACAAAGCATTAATAAAGGCATCTAAAGAAAAGGATCATAATAACTTAATTCTGTCAACGATACTGCCGAGACTTAACTGTAGGGTTGAAATTATAAGTAGGTCTCTAGGGCTGAATTCAAGGCTTAGGTAAATATGTAAGAAAGATCAGGTTGGCTAGTTGGATTTATAGAATCAGTTCAATGGGAAGAGGGAGCTTTTTTGGAATGGATGGTTTCCAAGGGCTATTAACTTAACTATAAGGGCAACTTTAAACTAGGATTAGTCAGTAGAGAGGAAGAGGATAATAACGAAAAAATATGATGTAGAGAGGGGTATGGTGTGGGAACAAGGTAGTTTTAATGATAGGCTAAACTTTTATTACTGTAATGCTAGAAGTATAACAAGTAAAACTTTAAAATACTGGTCAGTACAGAGGATTTTGATATAATGGGAATAACTGAAACCTGGCTAAATGTAGGCATTTATGATGAAAGGAACTCTTTTGAAACACAGGGTTATCAGTTATTTAATAGGGATAGAATACTAAAAGCAGGAGGAAGGGTGGCTTTATATGTAAAATATAAGTTACAGTCTGTTCAAGTTGAGAATATCAAAGCTAACAGAATGAGGTTGAATCTATTTGGGTTTCTGTTAGTGGTTATAAGGGGAGAAGGCTCTTAGTTGGAATTTGTTACAGACCACCAGATGAAATTAATTAAAAACTCTATAGGGTGATAAATAATCCAACTATTAATGAGGTTATAGTTATGGGAGACTATAATTTTAGACATACAGATTGGGAAATGTTAAAAGTCAAATCATGAGATTTTTAGAAACTGTTCAGGATGGATTTCTTCAACAATTGGTTAGGAAACCTACAAGGATCAATGCTATTTTAGATTTACTGTTAACTTCTAGAAATGGTTGACAGGGTGGAGATTGGGAAAAAGTGGAATACAAGTGATCGTTGCTCAATTAGATTTGATGTTTGTTTGCATATGGAGATAAGGAATTTTGGTTCCAAATTTCAAAAAGCAAATCTTGAAAAGATAAGACTACAATAATGCTCTGTGAATTGGGCAACTTAATTAGATGGAAATACTCATCAAATGTGGAGAATTTTTAAGTATTCAAGATAAGTTTGTTCCTTATAGACAAGAGGGTGGCTACAAGTAAAAATTAATGTTAGCTCAAAAAGGATACGAAAGATAAAATTGAAATAAAGCATTATAAATATAAATAGCTTAAATTTACTGCAATGAGAGATTATAGAAGATCAAAAAGTTGGTCAAAAAGGAAACTTGGAAATCAAATAAACTACATGAAAAAAAGGTTGGCTGAAAATGTAAAAATTGTAAAGATTTCTCAAAATACATTAAATGTAAGCAACATTTGGAATGGGTGTAGGTTTGTTTGTTT